GAAATAATAGAACCAGGGGGAAAGGAAGGGAGGGAGGGGAGGGGGGAGGGGAAGGCCCTTTCCAACAACTGACATTCCACTTGGTGTTCAAGCCTGAAGTGAATCACCTGGGTTTCCCTTCAATCAAGACACCTAAGGATAGAGACCTAGGTGCCAAACACAAACAGTAGAAGCATCAGTCATCCCAAGCACCAGGAAACACCCTTGCAGTGAGAATTTTTCTTGCTCTGTTCTCATGAAAACAGTTCATTTTAATGTGAATGTCATCATTTCACTCCCAGATTGAACCAGGGCTGACCTCACTTCTAGCAGCTGGAGTCACCCAGGGGAATATGGAGGGTGGGGGGCTCTCCCCCCTCCCCCCCCCTGCCTCCCCACCTCCCCCAGTGGTTGGGTCAGGCCTGGGGATCAAAAGGCCTTCAAATCAAGCTATCACAACCTTGAAAACACAAGGAGAGATAGCTTGTGAGTTCCCAGGTGCTCTTTTGAAACATAAACCCCCTAACAAGGGCTCCATATTAAAGTCACTTGCGCCACTGTGGGCAAATATATCACTGGTACTGGTGACTCACACAGAACACCACTGTCTTCTCTTTCTTCATTATCAATAAGGAGTCTCCCAGCCAGGTTTCACTTAAATATTTAAATCAAATGGGGATATTCAGAAACCACACAATGAACAAATATAAAACACCCTTTTTCTATGTGCTGGATGAGAGGTGTGTGCCAGTTCTGCCCTTGCCAAGCCTTAATTCGTTAAAACACAGTTAATCTTACCTCATGAAGCTGATATTCATAAAAAGAAGGGAAAAGATAACATCTTTTTAGTAGGTCCAAATGGTATGGCAACATGAGGCCCACCAGGGTGACACGCCACCCCTAACCAAGGTGTGCCCAAGCAAAGCCAACACCTACCATGGCTCAGTTACCTTTTTTTTCTCCTCCAATTCATCAGCCTCTCGTTGCCAAACTGTCTTCATGTCAAAGTCAAAGGGTCCCCTTTTGGACTCATAGTTACCATTGGCCTGATTGGGACTAAACTCTTCATAAACCATGTAATCTGGCATGGAGACAGCAGGGATTCTGTAGGAACAGACAAGAATCCAACCTGAAGTCTGCCTCTGCTTCAAGAACCATCTTTCCACCTCCTCCCAGGCCCACTGCAAGCATAGCAGGGCCCTTACCTCCCGGACCCTCTGCATGAACACTCCAGGCCTTCTCCAGGGCATGGTCAAGGCCTTGGCCAAGAGGCTAAGTGCAAAATCACAGTGTTCACATCAGTGAATGAAAACGATTAAGCCATAAACTATTAAAGTGGATAAATTATGATTCACTACTGTAGCATATTAGTCTCTTAAAATAGATTCCCTTCAACATTGAGCATTTCAAATAATCACTTAATAATAATAATGATGGCCTTTTTTTTTTTCCTCTTAGGTGGTCATTTTTAAGTGGCATTTGAACACTTTTCCTGTTTCCAGGGCGCCTCAGTTTCAGACACTTGAAATAACACAGCTAGGTGCCCAGGCACAGATTCCAGGACACAGCTAGGTGGCCAGGCAGATTCCTCTGAGCAGCTCCCTGTCCTCCCCCACTGGCAGGCTTGCTAAGCAGACCGGGAGCTGGATCTTGATCCTAGCAGCAGGGAGGCCCAGAAAAATGGGGTGGGGGGAGGGTGGATTTTCAATTTAATTGGATAATTAAAGTAGGCTGGGCACTGGGCCCAGCAGGTGGACTAAGCTGGAGGGTAGAGGGGCGGGAGAGTGGGTAGAAGAGAAGAGGAGAGGGAAGAAAAGTGGAGGGAGAGAGAGGGAGATGAGAGGAAAAGGAAAAAAGACAGGAGGGGAGGGCGAAAGGGGAGTGAGGAGAGAGGGAGGAGGGGAAATAGAGAAAGAAGGGGATGGGGAGAAGGACTTGGGCAAGGGGAGGAGGCTGGAGGGAGTGGAGGGTGGAGGGCAGGCAAGCAGGTAGGTGTGTTCCAGGGCTATTGGCAAGGCAGGCCTGGCATAGTAGAAGAGTGGAGGGATGGAATGGCAGTACTCTGGGAAGGATGAGAGAAGAGAAAGGGCTGGAAGGAGGTTGCGAAGAGGTCCTAAGAGAGCACTAGAGAGGCCAGGGAGCAGAAGCCAGGCTGGTAATGCAGGCCTGGGGGAACCACAGTCCTCAGTCCCCTCTGGAATCCACAGTCCTCAGTCCCCTCTGGGATACAGGTATGAAAAGGGTGGGCCCCTGGGTCCCACACACTTTATTGTAGGGGCTGCAGAACAAAGTCTCTTCTTTCCAGCCCTCTCACTTCTCCTCAGGCAGGAAAATTCCCCCAGAGAATAAAGGGTTGCTAAAAATAACAACAGAGGGTGCCAAATAACAACACAAGGTAATACCAGTTGCAGCTCCTAGGGTCCCAAAATTTCACTGCAGGAAAGCTTACTCTTGGACTTTCCATGTCCACACCCTCCAGATGTTCAAAGGAGCCCAGAAAGCAGTTACCCCAAGAGACTTGGAGAATTGAAAAGGCTATAAAGTCTCTTGATAGGTGGAACAGAGGGAAGTAAAGCAGCAAGAAGGAATTACCCAGGGGCTGGGCTGGGAGGAGAGTGTGCCCAGAAGGACCCACTGGGGCAGACCCTCCTTCCAGCTCAGGGAAACCTGTGGCAGCCAGTAGACACAGGACATCCAGACATGCATCAACCCCAATGGATGGGCTACAGGCCTGAACTGGGAAACCCAGCCCCCCAGAACCCCAGTGGAACTATTTTCCACAGTTTATCTTCCTACCCACTCCCTATCTCTCTGCTGCTGCTGAGGTCAGAGGTGAGCTGTGTTAGCCCACAGTCTCAGTTTGAAAGAACAGGAAAGAAGACTCCTGAAGATAGACTGCATTGTGGCCAAAGGCAGAGGCTTCCCAGGACATGAGGGACAGTGTGGAATCACCAGTCTGTCCTGCTCCCCAGGCCAAACTGGGAAAGTGAACCAAGTGATTTTTCTTGACTTCTCAGTCCAAGAACAGTGGTTTGGAAGCTATAGTTTACAGTCTCAAACACAGGAATTTCCTGTACTTCAACTATTATGGTAGATAGTAGCTATCCACAACTTGGCAATCATCATCGAAATATAGCATTTCCTATATTTCTAGCTGTCTATCTACCTTTTTCTCAATGAGAAGAAAGCTATGGGACAGCCTGCTGTTGAAGGAGGTAAGGTAACCAGGCCCTTGGTATAGAGAACAAAACTCAAAGCAATATTCCCACCAACAGCCCCAAGCCCTACAACTAGAGGGTGGAATACCTGTGGAGACTTCCAGAACTCTAGCAGTCTAACAACTTGTGCTGCACCCTAAAGCTGGCTCTTGCACAATTCTACCTGGAGCTGTGATGTCACACTAGTGGCAGAAACATTAGACAAGTGTGTTTTTAAAATTCAAATGGAGATTTTTCTTCCTATAAAGGTGAACAACTTGGTGCTTCTGGATACTCACTGTCGCTGGTTGGCTGTAGGTGGCTTGCTGTGGTGGATGTACCAATCTGGTAGGGAGTAGGCAACGGGGGAGCCCTTCCTGGTCCCGGCAGCAGAGTGCTTCAGCAGATCTCAAAGCCAAAAAAGAGCAGCTGTGAGTGCTACCACCCCAGGCCCATAGGGCACCAGGCAGGGGGTTGAGCTTTGGACGGCCTCTGAGCTCCAGTGGCCACAGGACATCCTTTCTCACCTCTTGTACTATGCTAAGATGCACCCCTACTTGTTAACATCCCTTGGACATCCCCCTATTCTGCCTGGCCCTGAAACAGGGTCTGTGCAGACACCATTTCTAGGTGGGGGTCTGACTGCAGGCAGACTCTGGGGAGGAAGGGGCAAAACTCCTCAGGTCTCCTGGGACAGCTTGCTGACTGCCCCTCAGCTGTCCCCACCCTGTCCTGGTGCCTGGAGACAGTCTGCCTGTCCCTGATCTCTGCCTCACAGCATTGCTTAAAGGAACTGGCTCCTCTGATTTTCCAGTGGGAGGTAGGGCACACACCTCTCTAAATCACAGGGTGCGGATATTAATCTGTGCCCCCCACCCCAGGGTGGAATCACGGGAGGGACAGATCACCAGGTTCTGCCTCCCCTTCTGCCATCTGCTGCCCAGCTTCCCTCCGCCCTCCCTTCCTGGTTCCAAGGGCTGTGTCATAGGAGGGAGTGACTGGTTTCACCTGATAATAACTACAGCACAGTGATGATAATAACAGCAGTGGTGACAGGCAACCTGACTAGCTTCTTCCAAGCAGCAAGAAGTGGTGAGATATTTATTTTTAAATATTTCAGGCTCAGAGGAAAGTTGCCAGAATAGCATGAATTTCCCTTACATTCTTCACCTGAATTCCCCAACTGCTAACATTTCATTCCCTAAGACTTATCATTCTCTCTCATCACTGTCACCATTGTTTAGTGTCAATTTGAGAACATAATGCGGGTATGACACCCCATAATTCCTTTATATACTCCAGTGGATGTTTCTAAAGCACAGTTCTGACATAATCCCAACACAATGATTAAGATCAGGAAATAAGCAAAATTAGTATTGAGGCAATCATTGTATCTAATTTGCAGGCCTTATTCTGATTTGGCCAGCAGTGCCTCTAGTAACTTTGAAACAATGGTCAGGGGTGTATGTGAAATATGTCTAGATCCTGCACTGAGTTTTGTAACATTCAAGCCCAGATGCTGCCATTTTGACTTCCAACCCCCTGACACACTCCTTAGTGGTAAAGGCAGAAAAAAGGACAAAAAGCAGACTTTCTCAGTGACAATAATGACAAAAGCCAGCTTTAGGGACTTCCATCTTCACAACCAACAAAGACTTTCTCAACTCAGTCATGGAGAAAAGTTTAATGACACTAGTATCCCATTGAAATTCATCTATGGCCTTCGTTATTTAAAATATATTAATGCCAGGAGTCAAGAATAATGTTTCACAAACCAATAATGCAAAGGTCCCCCCAAGCATGGAGTTAAATTTCCAAGCTAACTTTTCTGCGGAAGTGAACAGTTTCCTGAGATTCTAACTAGAAAATTAAAAGGGGGTCATGTCACTCCAAAGAAAAGTCCTATGAAATTCATACTTTCTTCAGCATATCCATAAAGGGTGTGTAATCCCCCACTGTCAGTGACCTAAATTTCCAAAAACCTTGGACAAAACTGATGGACTGTACAGTATTTTATGTGGAAGACATCAAGTGTAGCACTGCTCCCCACAGTCGAACCCCTGGATGTTCAGGCATACTTACCAGGCCTGCCGCCTTGCTTTGCCAGCTTCACATACTCTGAGTCTGTTTCTTTGATCCAGTACCTCCGTGTCCCAAATGGGTTCCCATTGGGCGTGTCTCTCAGATGGCTGAGGCCTGGGATCTGGGATGCTGGAGGGGCATCCACTTTCTCAGACCGCTTCACCGGAAGGTGGTAATACCAGTCTAGGGAAGAGGAGGCCAAGGGGGGTGACTTACTACATGAGGAATTCAGGTCAGTTTGGTTCACTGTCTGGAAGAGGAAGATGTGCTTGCCAGGGAGCCTTATGGCTCCTTCCCAGAACATTAGCAAAAGAGGAACTACTGTGGGTATTAGCAAGGGAGCCACCACCAGAGAACACATACAGCACAAATTACCCTCTTCTGAACACTCGTGATGTGATGTAGCCCTAGCTGTGTTGAAATTAATTCTTAAGCTCTCCAGCACACAGCTATTGACAACAGGAGAAGGAAGAAAGCAAGAAAGCACTTTACATGAGGTCTTTATGTGATTTTTTTTTTCCTGTGGTTACCTCTTTGTTTCAAAACAGTGAAAAGGGAATCTTTTCCATTAAACTTTTAGCTTCACAGTGAAATATCCAAATCTCCCTTTTTAGGTATCACACACAAATTCTCTTTTGTCTTTTGGTCTTCCACAAAATTGGGATTAACCACCATTTCTAGATATGTTGGAGAATACATATCCCTAAAAAGTCCCAAATAACTTAAAACATCATGGGCAAAGTCTATGGAATATGTGGCCAAATGTTGGCTACAAGTTGATCAACACAGTGCACTATAAACACAGAGATACATATTGGCACAAAAACACATGTATGAGCTTGATAAGATCAAGAAGAGGCAGGACTGGGTGCTGCCAGGGAAGAATACAATAGTGAACACTTGTTGTCTGAAGCTTAATCTGAAGTTTTCTCCTTGTCCTAATGCCCAGAGCCCAGCATTCAGGCCAAGCCACCTCTCAAACCCAGAGGGTTGGAGTCTGCGCACAAACTCTCAATTTCTGTTTGTGTATAAGGCCGACCTGGGACATCACGAGAAGTTGTGATGAAAGGCAGGCAGAGCTCTAGAGGGTTCTTGAAAGAACTTTTGCCAGGGCAACCAGGTGTTATGGGAAATCATCCAGATGCACATTTATGAGATAGCTGAATCCCTTGAAAACATCAAATTAGGTTCTACAAAAAAAGCAGCATAGTAAGAGTATGTGATTTCTACAACGCACATTTTATGAAGAAAAGACTGGATGCAGCAGGACAAAGAAGAAACTGAAGGGAAGCCTGCTACCTGTCCTTCCTCTTCATGGTGACTGAGCCCCACAGAAAGGAGCCACAGACAAGACAATCCAAGCTGGAACTGACATAGCTGTGAGGTCCGTTAAGTGGCCAAGAGATTAGTGGGCATGCAGGAGACTGCCTTGCAGGCTGCCTTATGCCCTCTCATGAGACTTCCTTTAAGAGAAACAGGAGCTGGTGGAACCCATCTGCAGAAGTCAGTGCCTGATGATCTGCAGTACCGGGAGACCTAGGGACCCGGGGACTCTTGCTGTTGTAGGTGACTCTTTGAACGAGAAATTGACTAATTACATGCCCAAATTTAAGAAAAATACCAGAGCTGATTGAAATTACTGGAAACAAAGTCCAGAGAGAATAAAAATGTATACAAGACGCCATTAATACTGCATAAGTGACTCAAGCCTATAACTACCATGGGCTGTCAAAATTGTAGGACTGCAGGACTCTCAGGAACTAAAAGCAGCCAGCTCATCCAGGGTGTGATACACAGTTTTATGTCAACCCAGTTGGTCTGTGTGCCAAATATTTGGTGAAGAGTGATTCTACAAGTTGCTGTTGATGGTAATTTTACAGGAGTGATTAATATTTAAGTCAGTGGACCTGAAGTATAGCAGCTTACCCTTCCCAATGTGTGTGCCTCACCTAATCTGCTCAAGGACTTGAGGCCCCCGTAGGAGAAAAGAATTCAACCTCCTAAATTCTCCCCGTAGGAGAAAAGAATTCTTTGCTCCTAAAACTGAACCGCAGAATCTCTTCCCTGGGACTCCAGCCTGCCATCTACCATACAAATTTTGCACTTGTCAGCCTCCACGACTGTGTGAACCAAATTCTTAAAATAAATATTTTTCCCGTTCTCTCACTCATTCTCTCCATTTCTCTCTCCCCCTCCCTCTTTTCCCCTTCTCCCTCCCTCTTCTACTCTTCCTTGAACTGGAGAACCCTTGCATAGGAGCAGCACAGGAAAATGGTACTGAATAGATCAATTTATGTAAACACACAGGCATTCCATGAGCAAAAAGTAATCATTCTCTAACGTTTAGACATCTCATTTTTTCTTGCAACTAGAAGTATGTTCTCTGCATAACAATTTATGACACTTATCATGACAAATTTTGTAAATATCTAAATGACAGTAATTAGCTGAGTTAACATTATAGTTTGAAAAGAAAAAAAAAGAATATTAAGAAAGTTTTAAAGAATTGTGCAGAACTCACACAGGCTCAAAGAATGTAAGAACTAGAGTTCAGGAGTTTTGTAATCAGCTCAAATATTCTCTTTTAGAGAGAACACATTTCATTCTTACTTTAATCTTCCTTTTGATGTTTTGATTACTAATTAATCCACAGAGAACAGTCAACCTTCTACTTTGTCCTCATTACTGGGAGCTTTGAGCAGGCACTGAGCTCTAAACTGGGGGCCATTACAACTGTATGCAAAGTTGCTCAGAGAGCAAGGGCCCAAATCACTAAGAACCAACAGTTGTCACCACCACCCAATGCATAGAATTAATGGAACAAGAAATGTCCTGCAGTGTTTAATCACTTCCAGTATTGCATGTAAGCACTGTGTGGTGTCAGATCATGTACCACTATGAAGGTGGCTTTAGTTTTCCTGCCTTTTCAGGAACGGATGTGTGCCTTCATTTTATCCATCAGGAAACAGGCTGAAAGAAATTCTGAGAACACCTAAGATCTGATATATTCTTGGTCTAGAAGTCACAGGCAGTGTTGTTTGTCTACAAACTACAGCAATTCCTGCCTTGGTGTATAAAAGCGTAGGCAGAAGAGACAGCTATGAGCTGTCCACTCTTGAGCAGCTCATCTTCCTAAAACTGCACCTCCATTTTGCCATGGATAAACCATGTTAATCATTCCTCAATGAGTTATTTTGAGGGTAAATGTTAGTGTGTTAAAGTGCTTAAACTCGTACCAGGCACCACCATCCCTTAGTTCTTAGTGTTGCAGGCAAGTAGCGGGATGGTGGGCAGGTTAAGGTAGGAGGAGATCTTAGAAAGGCAGAGAGCTTGTCTGGAGGAGGAAACCTTGAGGTGTCCTGCCTCTCTCAGCCTCTCCCGACCCGCTCTGCAAAACACCAATTTCCAGTCTGGCCATGCATGTGTCAGCACCGACAGTGGTTACTGTCAGAGTCGGGGCTAGAAGCCTATTTAGATGGTGTGGAAGTCTCACTCTGCTCCAGTCTTAGCTGACATAGGCCATGGCCCTGGACCTACCAACTCCCATTTTCTTTCCAAGAGGATCCCTACCCTCATGTCTCCACTCCTTCTCCAGCCCTTCACAAGATGGGGAAGAATAAAAACCAAAAGCAAAACAGACCACAGCATCCAAGTATTCTTGATTCATTCCCTTCTCACAACTTCAAGCCCCAGTAAAGGAGAAACCCCATTGTAACATACTTGTTCCCTAATCCCAGCCACTTGAAAGGAGTGACGTTGTCAACTTGGTTGGGATCTAAATTAAGGAGCAATAAATTCCCAGGAAAATACACCAAAATACAGCTAAAAATGCAAGTGCCCAGTAGACCTTCAGAGAAGTACACGCAGGAGTTACATAGGATTAAACTATAGAGGAAATTTCGGAGCTATTCTATTGTAACAACTGAGGGAACAGTGAGCAGCCACGTTTTCTTTTATTGAAAATGAAAGACAAGTGTAGTCTCTCCCACCACCACTACCATTTCCCTTCAAGCCTTTCTTTGATACTGGGGAACAAGAGCAGAGTGAAGCTTCTTTGAGGGTATCTTTGAGGATGTTAGTCTACCAGCCCATCAACCCCTCTCCGCACCCTCCCCCACCCCCACTCCGCGCTCACGCACACAGGATGCTAGAGGTCTGAACCCAGCCAGGAACAGAGGAAGTGGACTCCTCTCCGTTCACTCACCGCAGGGAGCATAGCGGTTCGTGGCCCCTTGCAGTTCCTTGCTGGTGTTCCTCATGCCTGGGAGACACGCAAGACTAGGTGTTCACTGTTGAGCTGGGAAAGGGGCAGGGGCAGAGCTGCAGAAGCCACGTCGTCCGTCCGTCTGAGCCGGCTCTGTCCGCACCCGCCTCCACCTGACACATAAGCAGGCATCTTACCATTCCGGAAGGACATGCAAATCACTCAGGTATACAGGGTTGACACACCCACGCCCCGTACACAGCAGGGACACATGCACGCCGGTGTATAGCAAGGACACATGCACGGGTTAAGCAGGGGCACCTCCACGCGGATACGCAGCAGGGGGACATGCACGTCGGGAACACAGCCCCGGTCCCAGGATCCGGGCGGCCCCTTTCCCGCCTTGACTTCCCTAGCCCCCCCGCCCCACTCACCCACTCGCCGAGTGTCTCCGTGGGTGCCGCCCGCGGCACCCTAGGAGAGTCTACCCAGCAGGCCGGCGAGTCGGGGGCCAATGCTAGACTCCCAGGGCTGCAAGGAACCACAACACCTGCGTCTCCCGGGCAACGGCTTGGTGGCCAACCGGCGGTCGCGGCGGGGGCCCAGCCGACCAATCAAAGCCGGGGGCGGAGCGCGGGCGGC